ATATATATATATATATATATATATATATATCTTGTATCGTTTTTTAGGTATACTATAAAAAAAAAAAAAAACAATATCGGTTCTTAATGGATTAGGATGCGTTGATTGATTAATTGATCGAGATATTGTTCATGTTCGAAACGTCATTGCAGTGTCACGATTCAAGATAATCCATAATGGATAGATCATAGATATGGGATTTAGGTAACGATCTGTATAATCTATTAACAGACACTATCCCCGATATGAGAGTTATCAGTGATTCACGATGAATATCGCGTGTGTACAGAATTTCATTCAACTATTTGAAGCGTAATTATTTAATAATAATTATTTAACATTGAACTATCCGATATATCGGCCAGTGAAATTTCTCCTTCTTATGGAGAAACTTTCGAATATCCTCCACTGATGATATATTTTTCTGTGTTTCACCGTGTTCTTATTTTTAATTATGTTTCTTGCGTGAGAAGACAAATTATGCGTAATAAGAGAGCCGACAGGTTCGCGAGCAAGAAACTTTCTTGCGTACATGCTCGTTCGATTTAATTCGATCGTGACTTTACCGGATGCTTCGAGGGTCCTTTAATGATCCTTAACGACACTGCCTACTGTAATACACGAGTACTGATGAAGAGTCATAGTAGTTCATATTCTGTTAACACTGTCCGTTGTCTATGAGTTAGAATTAATGTTATAGAATTTATTTAGCGAGAAATGTTTCGTTCAATGAAAAGTCATTTACGTTGTCTACCATTATTTACATTGCTTTTATGTCATTTTTTTTTTATATGTTATGTTTCTAATTAATATCATATAACATAGATTTTTCACTGATATTCATCTGCTTAATTGTAATCTATTTTTACAGAGATCACTATACACTTTCTTTCTTATTGCTTAAGAAACCTGGGATTATTCTCATTATTCTTCCTTTCTTCTTTTTACTTGCTTTATAATCTCTTAATTCCATTTATTTCTCTTCTTTCCTAAAAGAACTATAAATCTGTTCTTCTCCTCTTTACTTTACAAAAAATTCACTTTCTAAACACCACCCTCATTTTCAACTCAACTGTCTTCTTAATCCCATTTTAATTCAACTACTTTTGTAGAATTTATAGCAACTATTTTATATATGTGCAAGTATTTGTTCCATTGCCTGAAATTATTCACACTATAATTCATCGTGCTTTCTGTTCTTGCCACCATACATTTTCTTCATATTCGAGTTCATTTTCAGAAACTCTCACGAGACTAATATAAAGAGTTAAAGAGACACTTCATCTTACTTGTTAAGACAAATGGAGGCTGTCTATTCTTAATTTTCGTTTTCACTACTCTAGAAAATTATGAAAGGACTGTTACTGATGCTGTGGCAAAGGATAAAGTTGTAACTTAATAACTTATAAGTTGTAACTTATTAATCACTTAATAATAAAATTCCAGTGTTCTGCGATCCTCAGAGTACAGAGTTAATTAAAATAATTATTTTTCACATCGAATTAAAAGTTGAAAGATTAATTCGACTGATTTCGACAGGGGCTCTTTGGTGATGTACGACAGCGCTAGCTGTTCGTACGCAGGTGCGCTCGAATTAAAGGGAGCCTCTGGGACCGGAGCTGCGGCAGCGGCCGCAGGAGTAACCGCGGCCGGCGTCAAGCAGGAGAACTGGCCGTACCGCGGCCTGACCTGCGGTAGCACCTTCCAGAGGCTCAAGGAAAGCGTCGACAAAGCGAAACAAGCGCTCGCCGACCGCGGTGGATATCTATCCGGTGCTTTCTCGCCGCCGCCACGTGCCAATCCATCCGCCATTTCGCCAACTGCCTCCATCACCGGTGAGTCGATATCACAAGAATGATAAAATCATTCTCACTTCTCTGCACCATGTGTTTGCACGTAGACGGTAGATTTTTATGGATGATAATATGTTGCTCCTTGGCAGA